CAGGGTGTGTCCGGAACTAAAAGAGCAATCGAATTGCTGTCAACGTCAAGTTCAGTTCAATTTGTCACACAATGAAATAAATGAATTTTCTTCTTTCTTTTTCTTAAATCATTAGCTTGAAAACTGATCATCAGATTCATTCTTTTCAATCAATATCTAAATGTGTTCATCTATAACTATACACCCTAATCATAGGATGAACGAAGCACATTGATAATGATTGACAGTGCATGACCTTAACCGGGCACACACGTTAAACGTCAAAAACAATAGTCTTTCTATCAATAGCTGTTTCGATTTCCCAAGAGTACAATAAATAAATGGTCATAATAGCACGTGGACTAACATTACCAATGAGAGTAAATGATGACAGATCCACTCCAATCAACTACTGACTACTCTAGTGACATATCAATCAAGGACGAATGTAGAAACTGAAGTATCTGTCAGGCAAATGGTCGTACTTATCATTAACTTATGGCACATCTAATGTTAAAAAGTCAGAAGTTGATGACGTGAAATAAAAGAAAAGAAAAAATAAGATTTTTATTGAAAGAAAATGATCAATTTTCATACAGATACCGGTTCATGCTGCTGCCATAGACAATCAATAGAGTAAAAAGTAGCTTGAGGCGAAGTTGACGACAGACGCACCTTTTTTTTTTTACAATTCAATTTTCAATGATTTCTTTTTTTTAGTTATTATAAAAAGAAAACAGTAGTAGCTATAAAAAAAAAGAGAGGACGTAAAAAATGATGGCTTCAGAAGAATCCATAACAACACGTATACATCATCGTTCAATACCACCGATCTATTTATCATATTCTAATCAAACTGGTTTTATTGAACGATATTTCGTTGTTAAACTTTATCAACAACTCGTCGAACATGGTTTAGGTGAAGGTGTTATATGGTTTGATCATCATCTAGGAATACATCCTGATAAAGTACATATTTAATTTGTTTTTAAGCTTTTTCTTTTTTGCATTGGCTTTTTTTTTATATGTAGTCGGCAACTTGGTTTGCTGATCGTCTTGAAGCAATCGATTTATCACTTGGTAGTATTTTAATATTATCCAGTTCATGTCAACATCAACGTTTGATGACAATAGAATCAAAAGCTATTTTTGATAGAAAGCTTTTATCAGGTACAACAACGGTTTATGGTTTATTTGTTATTTTATTAGATGAATGTCATGATTTTACATATTTACGTTCACGAGCAGAATTTTTTCATGCTTTTAATAAAACAGAATCGATATTGGAAGTTGAAGAACGTATATCAATGATTTCAAAGCAATTAATAATAAAATTATTGCTATATAAACAATTTTCTTCTCTTCAAAATAATTTAACAATATATGAGCATAAAATTGATGAAGAAGAATCTAAACAGTTATGTTCTTGGACATCAAAAGATATTCAATCATTTCTAACTCGTATTGGTGTTCAACAATCCAGTCGAGATTTATTTACTGAAAAACAAATCGATGGTTATTTATTATTAGCATGTACTGAAAATGAATTAAAAGATTATTTTCAAATGAATAATCGTAAAGTTCGACAAATATTAATTGAACATGTTATACGTCAGTAGATTACTTTGCTTTTTCATTTGTTTGTTTATGATTTTTTTGCTTTGTTTTTTTTTTTTTCTTAGAAGCAATCCATCGTGAACGACAAAGTCGACCGCAATGGCACTATGAAGCTAAAAAAACCAAAGGAAAAAGTGATCATGTCTATTTAATCTATGATCCTGAAGATCATTCAATAGCCAATGAAATTTCAAATTTTTTAAAAGATAAAAAGTTTCGAGTAAATAAAATCTATTGATTATTTTGTTTAATATGATTAATTTTTTTTCTTTCTTTTCTAAGGTATTCACACATAATTCTCGATATGGAAAAAATAAACATGAATTTTTAGCTTTAAATGGACCTGTTATGGCTCGAACAAAAGATGTTATTTTTTTATTAACAGGAAAATCATGTCGTTCAACATTTACATTTCATGAATTAACATTAGCTGAATGGTTCGAAAAACCAATTGTTACAGTTTATATAGAACATGTTTGGGCAAATATGAGATCATCAATTCGTGCTTTACTTGGTATGAAAATATTTTCTTTTTCTCACTGAAATAAATCAAATGTTTATTTTTCTTTGATATTTAAAAATTAGCTGATTATCCATCAGTTGATTTTATGCATCAATCATTACATGAAAGTCTTACAATTTTACATGCATATCTTCGTCCACAAATGCTTTCATCAGAAGAACCTGAAGAATATGTTCAAAAACTTAAACAAACAGTTCGACCATTAGCAAGTATAGCAATATCTAATAATAATTTGAAACCAAAACTCTCTTCTACATTGGATGAAAGTAAAATAAGAAAAAATTCTTTGATAATAAAATAAACACAGCTAAGATATTTTTATTTCTTTTTCTTTTGTTTAGATGATTCGGGTAATGTTCGTTTTGTTTATTTAAGTTATTCGAGAACAACTGAAAAATGGAATGTTATTCATGCTGTTGAACGACTTATATTCGTGCTTGAAGCAAATCATTTTCATACTGGAGTTCAAATGAAAAATATTAATAACAATAGTAGCCGAGAAAGTGATCTGTAAGTTATTCTCAAATGAAAAAAATTCAAATTATTGAACGAGTTTCATCATTGGAAATCTATTCTCGATACAGATGATATAATATGTATTTCATAAAGAATAGTTTTGTCCTATTTTCATGTTTATTTTCAAGTTAATCTCTATGCAATTATTCATAGAAATATTTAAAAATAGTTTCTGCAAATATTTACTTCAAAACCATATTGTAGTGTAGTTAAAAAAGTTCGAAATTTTCATGACGTGGAAGCAGAAAACAAAAAAAGTCATTGAGAATTAATAACACTAGAAGAACTCTATTTGATAAAGTTTCTTATGAATTACAATATAGTATATTCTATATGTTTGTCATAGTCATAAAATTTAAGGATTATACGACATATAGTCTGATGTACTAAGGAAAACTTCTTGGTATAAATTAAGAGTATTCCAAAAAAAATTGTTTTCGATGAAATTCAATTCAAAATATAAAAGATTAAGGGTCATCTATTAATATTTTGTATTAAAAGTTTGATTTTCATTGCTTCATTATGTAAGTGTTTTTTTAACATGGGAAGTAACCTTAAATTTCAATGAGCCAAATACGAGACATCTCGGATTTATTGAAGAATCTATAGGATCATTATTTCTTTTTTATGCGCAAATATATTGAAAGTCAACAATATATCTTTGATTTAACAATAGTCTAAGTGGCGCTACACTCTCGAAAATCGATCTTGTGTCAAATGCATTCTAATTCATGACGTTTTCGGTAAATATTCAACCAATAATGCTGAAAAAAATGCTCATTTGATAACTCAAAATTCTGTGTGAGCTCCCATTCTGTAAATTTTATTTTTTTTTATTTGAAAGAGCGTCTCACACTGCAGTAACCTTTTTTAAATCCTTGCTTTTTATGCAAAGAAAAAGGATAACAAGTTGAATAACTCGAAAAAATGTCAAAAGGTCATCTATTTATAGAAGTGCTTTTGTATATTATAATAAAAGAACCTTAATTGAAAAAACAGGCTCTATCAAGCATAGCAGCTTCACATATTCTTTCAAACATTAAAAAAAATATAATTGACTAAAATGAAGGTACTTCAAAATATATTAAATGTGTCATCAGAAAAGCATAAACAGTGAAAAGACAAAAAAGATTTTCCATTTTTCGTAAAAACAAGCATATTCTTTTAGCAGAAATTCGCGGAAAATTTTTGAGAAAAAACAATGCCAAAAATTAAAATCACATCGTTTAGAAAAGGTTACGTTTCGTACTATCTTCTTTTTGTGAGAGGAGAGACAGACATTAATCAATCGTTTGTTTGTCTTATTCCGAGTAAAGCATAAAGAAGAAGCTAAATTTCGTGAATAAGTTTTTCCTTTTTAGAATCCTTTCCAAAAAAAAAAGAATATTGATTTTAAATTTATTCATTTTACGTCAGGCATCATTTACCAAAAATTCAATCGAAATCTTCATCTATCAATCCTAATGATTCTTATCTTCATGGTTTTAATCCATCAATAACAACAACAACATCAATTGATACTCGTCGTATAATGGGTCCAGGTGATATTCGTCATTGTCGTGTTATGATTGTTTGTTTAACACCAAAATATTTTCTTAATGAACATTGTTTAAATGAATTACGACTATGTGAAATATATCAAAAACCAATTCTTGTTGTTTTATTACGACATATGAAATATTATCATTCAAATAATATTTTAAATACAAATATGAGTCTTGATGAACAAATAAATACATTTATACCATCAAAATTACCAATGACAACATTAAGTTTTTTACGTAAAAATATTCGTTCATCATGTATTGATTTAACAACAAATGAATTATTTTCAAGAAATGTTCCTATTTTATTACGACGATTAGAAACAATGCTTGGAAAACATCGAAATCAAATGGAAGGAACAGCACATTCTGTAAATCCAAATAATTTTAGTCAAACAAGTGAAGTGTTTTGAAAGAAAAAAAAAAGTTAATCAAAAACAAAATTCTCTTTTATTCTTCTCTCTCTATTCGATGAGCACATTTTATTTTTGTATGTGCATTCAAACGATAGATGACACCACAGATTGTTTTTAATTTATACTTTATTTGAAAAAAAATAATAAAATTTTGATGTTTCTTTTCAATGTAATTAATATTTTTCTTTGAACAAGAAGTTCTTTTATAATTAAACCAAAATTGTTTATATTGAAGTAGTAAATATAATTCATATGGCTACAATTAACCAATCATATTAATAGAAAATGCCACGCTATAATAAATTCATTCTGACACTGTATGGTAGACCACTTATTTGTTAATATACACTAGAAACAAGTTCACGCGTAATTTTTTACTACATCCATCTTCTTTAAACTTTGTAGATGATGGATCAATCAATTTCTGATCATCTTCAAACTGGACCTTCTCCAATGTTCAATTACATTCCTCCTTCAGTACCTCCGGTATCTACACTAAATCAACAACAGCAACAGCAACCATTCATAACATCACAACAACCATCAAATGTTCAATATCCTCCAACAGCGCACAATTCATCAGATGTTGATGCATCAACAGCAAATTTTAATGCTCAACAACAGCAACAAATGGCAGCCATGATGCAAATGCATCAACCATGGGCTGCTGGTGGTGGTTTTCCTTCACCTTATATGATGCAATATCCACCAGCGATGATGATGATGCCACCACAAGCTGGTTCGGATCGACCAGGATCACGTCAGTCGTCGCGTCCACCATCTCGACAAAATGCTACAGCTCCAGTATCCTCATCAAGATCATTAGTAAATGGACAAACAGGTGGTCAAACACAAGCATCATCCGGACAAGGAATGTTACCAATGCAAGGATATCCTGGATTTATGCCACCTGGAATGTATAATCCATGGTTTGATCCATATTGGCAATCGATGTATGCTAGTTATCAAAATCCATATGGTTTTGGATATACAGATGAAATGATGAAATATTGGAGACAAGTATCACAAACAGATGATGATAGGTATAGTCATCATTCAGCTGCGTATTCACAATCGAAACAGTCACAACACAGTTCATCCATGCACACATGGGGTTCAACAGATTCGCTGAATGATGCATTTTAGTAAATTATTTTTCCTAAAATTTTATCTTTCAAATTTATATATATATATATTTGTCTGTCTTTGTTTTTAGTCAAAATCATAATGCTTTTCTTAATGGATATTATCCAACTAACAAACCATCAGGTCCAAATCAATTTAAACAACAAACAAAAACAACTACAGATCCAAATACACTTTTAACTACTGCAACTATTCCAAATCAACAAATAGCATCAGTTCAATCAAAAACAAAAACAATTCCTGCACGAGAAAGTGGTGAAAACGAAGAAGAAGAGGAAGAAGATGATGATGAAGAAGAAGAAGAAGAAGATGATGATGATGATGAAAATGAAGAAGATTCTGATGATGGAAGTAGTGATCGTTTTAGTATAAAATCCGATTTAGCACAAGTTAATGAAGAATTTTCAAAAGCACGACGAACACCACTTTTATATATTCGACCACATCTAAGAGCTAAATTTGTTTTTGATCAACTTATTCAAGTCTTACCACAATCACCCAGTGATACAAATCAACCGGCAACTGTAGAAATTATTTCTGCAAATGTAAATTATTTTCTTATTATTGAATAAAGTAATAAAACAAAAACAAGCCATTATTCCATTTATTTAGAGTTTACATTCAATGGCACCATCATTAGTAGAAGAACGACAATTAATGTCTGATTTCATCGGTCCTTTAACTGCGTAAGATATTTGTTTTAATAAAAAAAAATAAATAAAAAAATAAAAGAAAATTTCTTTTGAATTTTTTAGATCAACAGCTAAATCAAATGTTATTCGATATTGTGAACGTCAATCACAATTAGCTAATAAATCAATTCATATTATTGACCGTGATGCTTTATCAATAATTTGGCAATATATGGGATTACTCGTTAAAAATAATGGCGTAATATATATATTAAACTAAATATATTTCTTCAATAAATACACAAAGAAAATTTCTTTTCCTTTTTTTTATTAGGTTATTGATGTTCGTGTTGACATTCCAAAAATTCTTTGGTCATCAAGTGGTACACCTATTGTTGAAGAATCATCATCATCAAATAATAATAATACATCATTATCATCAACAACATTAGAAAATTCATTAAGAGAATTTCTTGCACTTGGTGAAATTGATACAAGTATTAAATTTGCTTGTGAAAATCAATCCTATACTCATGCACTTATTATTTCATACTTAACTGATAAACAATTATTTGAAAAAACAATACACAAGTAAATAACGAGTGATGCTGGAAGTTACTAGACTGTTTGCATTCTTCATATCTATTCTTTATTTGATCAAAGCATTGTATTTTTTAATCGAAAAATAGCGTTTGAAATTCTGCATAAGGTGGTATAATTTATTTAACAAATATAGTTTCCGTCATTTTTCTTTTTATAAACGCAATCGTAAAGTGAAGTCCAATAGAGATCTTTTAATTTTCTCTTTTCCAATATTTTTTTGATGGAAAGTCTTTATTTCGTCTATTAATGTTACTTTCGTTGTTATATAGTTCCAATGCATAGTTTCTGTCAATTCATTCTATAAACTAATTCAATGGATTTAACTCAGATAAATTTAGTGATTGGTGCTTCTTCAGTATGAATATACAAATATAGTCTGTATATCATTTTTCACTCAGATGATACGTTCAAACCGCAAAAACATTTTACTAAAATTAGGTTTGCAAAATTAGACCGTCCTTTTAGTGTAGATCAATCAAGGTAAACTCTTTGATCTTTCGTTATGGGAAATAGGGAAGGCCTTCTTACTATTGCAACTGTATGCTCTTTATTTCAGCAGGTAGTTTTCTTGGAGAATAGGCGCCATAGCATCTTTGAGACATTCACTTTTGTTCAATTAATGTGTAGACGATTGGGACAGTGTGAGAAATTGATAGAGCTTTTTCGTTTTTCATTATACATGGTTTTGTAGAGAATTTTAAGTAGTATATTTTAATAAAAAAATGTTTCGATCAAAATGGAAATATTTAAAATACAAACAGTCTAATTTATTGTACGCCATCTGTTAGATAAGAAAAAAAAATTTGAATTTTCTTTTTCTTTAAAGTATTATATCAAATCTTGATAATGGTGATGTATTGAAAACATTTTATGAATTAGGAGCTGGTTCAACACCATCTGTTGTTACTGTAAGTTTAATTATTTCAATGATTCTTGTTTTATTTTATAATAAATATAAACTATAGAATGTTACCAAAGCACATTATGGTGACTGGAAACGTCATTTAGCAGTTATGCTAGCTAATCGTACGGATACAAATTCACAATTCGTTGATCTTTGTATTAAAACAATGGGCGATACATTTAGTAAATGTTTTTATTTTTTATTAATATATTTTTATGTTTTATTTTTTTTTTCAAGTATCATCTGGTCGTATATATGCTGGTCATTTTTGTTATTTAATTGCTAATGTTCCATTTGGGTCATATCGAAATAATGCCGATAAATTAGCTGTTATTGGAAGTATTCATGCTGGGTAAAAGACGATTATAACTCTAGTTAAACATAAATAAATAATAAATTATGCTTTTGTTTTGTTTCTTTTTTTCAGTCAATCTAATCTTTCATTTGCAACAATTCCAAATTTACAATTAACTGAAGTTTATGAATATGCATTAAGAAAATGTTTAACAACATTTATTGTAAGAATTTTATCATGATTTTAACAAGAAATTAATAAATAAACGTCTTGTATATTTTTAGCCATTAAAAATTTATTATACATCAAAATTAGTTCTACATGGTTTAAAAAGAGAAGCCTTAGCTTATTGTGAAGAAATTGGACAAACACTTATTCGACAAGAAAATACTTCATATATTCAATTAGTTGATTTACAATTATTTATAGTTGTATGTTATGATTTAAATCTAATAGAAAGATTCTATATTGAATTTTTCATTTATTAAAGATTGCAGAAAAATCTCGAGCATTTAATCGCAATTTTCAACTTGATCCAACATCATATAAAGAACCAACATGGTTGATTGAATTAAGACGTATCATTCAAAATTTAATTGTAAGTTTTGTTTTTAAGAAGAAAAAACACTATATTATTTAGTATTATTATTATTACTTGTGATTATTTCAAGGATAATGCATTTTTAAATAAAACAGTGCGTGATGATGCATTGAATTCATCTATACAACAAGTAAATCGTGAAGAGACTCAATTACAACAACAAACAAATCTTTCGACTCGTAAATTTATTTGAACAAAAATAAAAGCGAAGAATTTCTTTTGTCTTTGAAATAGATCCCCATAAACAAACATCAAATATTCATCGAAAAAATGAACAAATAAAAACTAATGTGCCTTCATCATCTGTAACAAATACAAATGTAAATTTGATATTCAATTCTTATTTAATATTATATTCTTAAAATCATTAGGGTTTAAATGGTTATGATCTATCAAATCAAGCTACAATTGAACAAATACCTTATCCTAATCCAGCTGCAACGAATTATCAAAATACTCTTTCAGGTAGACAATTCATTTATGCTATAGATGAGACTCAGACAAACTTCTTTTACTTTTCGAGTTTCTTATATGCATGGTAAATTCTCACGAGGAAAGTTCTTTAACTGATAAATCGTTTTTGAGTCGAGAATATGTGAACTCAAATAAGCTGTGAATATCCTTAACTTATTGTTGCGGAGATGCTGCATTTTTACAGTATTTTTTCAATAAATGCCATAGTAATAGAAGAACTGATTGTCGAGTTTTTTCCTTGAGACAGGTCTTAACAATAGTAGTTTTTTTTATGAAAGTTTCAGCTCTTGTCGCTGTTTCTTTTCTAAGATACAACTATTGTATTAGCATGTCTTTTACATGATTCATGCAATTCATTCAAAGAAAAACTTATTTACTATCTTAATTAGTCTAATAAATGAATAGACATTTTCTGACATCAATGTTAAATGCATTTTATCTATTTTCATATGTAATTTATACATAAATAAAAATTGAATATTTTCCAGTTGATACAAATGCTCATTATTCATCACAAGTTCCAACAAATTATTATCAACCAACACCACATCAACCATATTATTCATCTGATTCTCAGCAAACAGAAATAAATAATTACTCACAACAATGGCCTCAACAACAACAGCAACAACAACAACAACAACAAACAATTCCAACACAACCAGATATTTTAAATTCAACAACACAACTTCCTTCAACCAATAATTCATATTATCAACCACCAATAGATCAAGCGCAATATATTCAGCCAGGTTTTACAAGTACACCGAATTCTCATTCATCTCAACAACAGTGGTATTCATCGGGACAAGTTGAAGGACGTGAACGCTTACCATCAAACGAGGTATGTATAATATAATAATATAAATAGTAGGGATGTGAAGTTATTGTTATTTTAAAAATAACTCTGACTAACATTTTATGACTTGTGAATGTAATGAAATATATTATATAGCAACAGAAAGAGGGCAAAATTCTGAGCAGTAGCAGACAGTTAAATGTGAACTATATAAAGTGTTTGAGAAATGTCAGTGAGAGTTATTTTGAAAATAACAATAACTTCTTATCCCTAATAAATAGTAAAATAAAAAAAAAATTTGAAAAATAATGTTCAAAAACCTCCAAAATAAAAATTTTGTCTAATACAAATAAATCTCGTAGCAACAACAGTTGGAATCCGTGAGACGTCGTTCATCGATTATAACATTTAATCAAACTGATGATACATCATCAGCAAATCGACAACTACAATCGACAATAGATAATAGAAAATTATCTTCCACATCAACTCAATCGAATACTAGTAATCATAGTCCAAAAAATCATTTTGATACGGCTAATTTTCCTTATCAACCACCACAATTAATACGTTATTCAACGGTATAAATTTATCTTTGTATCAAATATAACTTCTATATGTCTAGCTAATGCTTTCTTTGTGTCACATTCTAACAAAACACATTTACTATTGGATTTGTTTATGATTTTGTGTTTTTTACATTGCTTTGTATTTCTTTTAAAACAAATTATTTTGTATATTATTTTTATATTTCTTTAATTTTATTTATATAGAACCAAACATCATCAATTACTGAAGAATCACAACAACAACAAACAAATGCACCAGCTAGAACGAAACATGCTATTTTTGATGATAGTGATGATGTTTTTCCCGTAAGAAAACTTATATTTTGAAATAGAATTGTATTGTTTTGTTTCTATTTAGAATAATCAACAAAAATCAACAGATAATAAATCAAATAAAACTACATCAGCAGCAAATCAAGCATCTGCAACTGGACCAAAAACTGGTATAGTTGGAAGTCTCTTTAATCGTCTTGGTTGGAAACGACCAGCACAAGCACATTTACCTGATGATAAAAATAAAACAGTAAGAAAAAAAACTAATTCATATATAATATATGGGAGTGGCCAGTTAGTATGGTACCCCATTTTGATACACTCCTATTGTATGGATAAAACATACTATTGTTCGGGTCATATAAGAGAGGATCCTAGATAATCCTGAATTGACCCGAACAACATCATGTTTTATCCGTACAATAGTAGAGAAAAGCTGCCAACTCACACGATAAGCTAGTAGCTGTTCTCAACTATTGTACGGATAAAACATGATGTTGTTCGGACCAATTCAGGGTTATCTAGGATCCTCTCTTATATGACCCGAACAATAGTATGTTTTATCCATACAATAGGAATGTATCAAAATGGGGTACCATACTGACTGGCCACTCCCATATATTTTTTTTTATCTATATTAAATATTCATTAGCTCAAATATGATCAACAGACAGGTCGTTGGATTGATACATCAAAATCAGCTGATGAACAAGCATCAACACAAGTTAAACCACCTCCAATGATATCATCAAACAGTACATCATCTTCGTTTGTAACTAATGCACCGCAACAACAACAACAACAGCCACAACAGTCATCATTATCATCAACACATAATCCTTCAATGCCATCCGGACCTTCTCATTCGTCTCAACCACGAACATTAAGTTTCGCTGCCGGATCAACTACCAGTACGCCAACATCTCAAACTACAACTGCAGCTTGGCCTCCACAATCAAATACTAATACCACACCTAAAACTACTCAACCATTGCCACAGCAACAACAGAAGCCTCCTGCACAATTATCAGCTGCTCAACAACGTCTTCAAGCACTTAAACAGCAACAACAACAACAAGCAGCTATTCCACAGGTTCAAGCTCCACCAGCTACTTCATCTAATCAATATTCTCTTAAAAGTCGACGTAAGTTATAAAATAAAAAGCTGTTAAAACCAAAAAGACTTAATCAAATATTTTTATTTTAGAAACTCAATCTCGTTATGTTGACATTCTTGCTTCAAGCAAAGGTGCTATTGCACCAAGTCCCAATATTTCACTCAACGATCTTATGCCAACACCTTCAACCGGTGTGCCAACTTTGGCATCATCAAATCAAACAAATAATTACTTTGTACCAGGTTAGTCGTTTATTCTACTTGTTTTTTTTCTTCTTGCTTGTTGTTTGAAAAATAATATAGCTTATTACAATTAATTGCATTGACTTGACTGCACTGCTTTAGAAACCCATCTAGCAAATGATTCAACTGATGCAGAAGTTTCATGGATCAATTCTCATGTAACATAGTTAAAAAAAACTAACACGCATGTTTTCTTAGGCACCTAACCCTCTCCATTGGATACGAATTATTCTTGTTTTTTTTTTGTTCAATATAAAATCTAAAATAAACTCTTATGGATTTTATATTTAGGTCCCTCACAATCAACAAACGACAGTAATGAACAATCATCATTTTCATCTTGATCAAAAACATTAAAATGATTGTGTATTTCTAATGAAAATAATTGATATCTTGATGATTTTTACATGTTTATGGTGGTGGTTATGATTTTAGAATGAGATACTCTGTTCTTTTTTCTCTTTATTATATTCGTTCTTTCTTCTTTTTTTTCTTCTTTTCGTTGTTATACTTGTTTTGGGTGGTTGTCAAATGCACACACACATTCTATTTCTTTCTTTCTCGTTATAATTATTTCTATATATTTTTCTCTTAGTTGCCTATTTATTTGCATTCATATAACTTGTGAAGAGGAGCTTTATGCGCACATTGATCGTCGTTGTTCTTCTCCACCGAATCTTTTTTTTTCTATTGTAAATGTATGCGTGCGCATCTTATTAAAATTGTTTTGTTTTTTTTGAAAGCCAATTTTAAACATGTATGTGATAGATACGAAAATGGAAACAACAGACATTATCAAAACATGTAATTATATCAAAAAAACATTCATTGCAAGAAAATTTGCATTGATTGAACACATGTTTTAAGTTCTAAACTATTATTTTAAAAAAGAAATAATCGAATATTTTCATATCATTCAGTTATATTCAATGATTGAATGAAGACAAAAAAAAGTAGTAAATAATTGTTTGTAGGTCGGAAATTTTTGTCGTTTGGTTTCGTCATTTTTTTGGGTTTCGTTTAACTGTGAATCTGATATGAAATTATGCTCAACAGGTGTGTTTCTGTAAAAGTACAGTTTGTGACTAGTATATTTACACAAACAATTATTTCTATAAAAATAGTCAATGAAAGAGAATCGATAGCAGTTGAAGTATAGCAATTAATGATCATATCCTAAAAAGTCAAGATTGATTGATTTGGTATTTGAAGTATATATATATATTTAGTTGGTACTTATCGATCTCCTAAACATGATATAATGCAGTATTTGTATTGAAAGTCTATCTACCTTCTTCAACTCCTTTAATTTCACTAATATGCCAAATGAAAGCTCTTTCTTTCCTCTGTCGAATGGCATATAGGANTCATCATATGAAGAAAAAAGGAGAAACACAATGTTTGACCCCACTTCTATATGCCATTCAGTAGAGGAAAGAATCGGTAGTCATGTGATATATAATTCAAATAAACAAAGTTGTGAAGAAGAAGAAAAACTTTTCATAGAAATATTGCATAATATCAAGCTAGAAAGGATAGATAATATCTAATTTGTAGTCAATTTTGTACAGCCTGAATGCAATCTAACTGTCTGATTCGTAACACAATCAACAACTGAGATCTAAATTGATTATTGAGAAAATAAGAAACTGAATTTCTAAAGGAGATTGATTTCGTTGCTTAACGATTCCTCGTTCTTTACCGAGAATTTCCAAAATTTATCAAAAGATAATAAGCTAATTGTCAAAGAATTTCGGTAATTACTTATATACGTCCAGAAACATTTTGAGTAATTTGGGAAACTGCTATTAAGCGACAACAGAGTAATTTATAAGTGGTTTTGTTAATCAGTATTTTGTGACCAGCAAATTTCCAGTTAATTTTCGAAATGAAAAAGAATTCTGCAGATAATTCCTGAGAAACAACCATGAAATTATGCAAAATGCTAAGAACCAAGCAACGCGTGTCAGGGCATTCGCAAACTACTGAAGCATGAAAAGAAATTTTGATTCAACTTTTGAAGAATTTTCTGTGATGTAACTAGGAAATATTGATCATCATTAGAAATAAAATTGTAATCGATAACGGAAAGCGGTCAATCAGAACCGACTCGCGCCACTGCACTCCAGCAGAGGATACTTTGCACGACAGTATTCTGGCCGCTAAGCATAACTTATCCTTTACCTACTAAACTGGATTTTTTTAAGAATTTTTGCATCTTTTTCTGAAATGATAATTGATCATTAAAGTGCTGTTCGTTCACAAATCAAACACCTTTTACTAATGTCGAAGACTGTTTCTGTGAGGGAATATGCATCAGATTATTTTACTAAGTGAAAACTTATCAGAGAAAACTTAATACATCTTATTAACTTACTTTAATATCAAGTTAGGATATCGAAACAGCATTGCATAATTGTTTAGTATGGCGATTTATTATGGACTTATTTGTGATTCCTGCTATTTGTTGCATATATTTCGCGCAGACATAAGAGATAACAACACAGATATAACGTGGAAAGTAGATTTAATACTCAGAAACATCAATCTAACAGTCGGATTGATCAAGTCTAATAAGATCTAATTGAATTCCACTGGGATATAATCAGATTCAATCAGAATTCTGTAGGAATATTGTCGGAAACTATGACACAGAACGACATGCTGACCCATAGTATTGAGATCCGATTAAATCCTACAAAAGAAATCTGGCAGATTCTAGTGTCATAGAATGATTCTATCGGCAATCTAAAATTTGCAGGTATCCTCACAATTAATGCAGTCAGATTTGGTACGACCGTCAGCGCTCGGATTCCTATGAACTTTGTGCAGATTTCTATCAGATTTCATCAAGTTCCTCCAGGATCCGATCAGATTGCACCACTAAAGATTTGTAGGTGATTGTCGCACGCTAATTCTAAATAGAAATCAATAAGATCTCATGGGATCTCAAAGGACTTGATAGCATTCAAATACGGAACTGTTTGATTTCGAATAGAATATTTAAACACTGGCTATGACTGAAAAAAAGGGTTATTTGACCGACTAACTTACTGATATTGAATAGCCCTACCATCGAATGTTTTCGTAAGGTATTGTTCGCTATTGTTAGATGACAAGGGCATATCGTCTTTCTGATCCGTACCATCCACTATCCATAGGACTTTCAACGGACGATACAACAGTGAAATCGAATAGAATGTGATTGAGCAGCACCAAACCTTTGCAAATACCATTCCGTTTCACACTCATGCGATCGAACTGGAAAAACAAGTTCATAATTTTTCAAAACTAAATTAGAGATTCGCCTTCTAGAACCTTACAATCTGCGTTCAAGCTATAGAAATATATGGCTCTCTAAACAAAAGCTATCACTCTCACAAAGAACAAGCTTGAAAATTAAAGACAATTGATGGCCCTTTCCAATGCCTTCAATACTTAAACGTCTAATCAATTTTCATAGCGAGTCACGCCATCATAAAAGCCATCATTCCATATAATTTCTTCGCTAAAAGAGGAATTGCAAATTTACCTTTCTAGAAAGAAAAAATTACTGCGCTATGAATCAGCTTTAAATAAAATCTGCAAACAGAATTTTTTTTGTCCAGTTTGCGCAACGAAAAGACCGTAAAGAAAGTTTTAATATGCTCAATTGTCCAAAATCACATGCAAGGAGCACCAGTAAATGAATTTCACTGCGTCAAGAGACAGAAAAAAAATATTTCAAGTATTTTCACACGAAACCCATCCTGTTGAATGCTACTTTTCTAAAAACGCAATACTCAAAAAAAGCAACACAGGCGTCATCTCATTATAATTATTGAAATTAATGACGAAGGGAAAACGAATACAGAAGCTGCCTTGTGTGAAAATTAAAAAAGTAATACTGCTCTAATCCCCAATATAAAAACTACTTAATCAAGTTCAATTTCCAAAAAACTCAAACACTATGCCCGACTATAAACAATATCGCGATAATACAAGTACCTCTGCACTTTCAAAAATCAAAGGGACAGACAGCACCAACAAAAACAGAGATAATCCACAGCTATAAAAAGGAAGCTGAGCGGAAGTCTTCAAAATCATCACGACTACATCAAATTTACCTTCAGTTGACAGAAAAAAACCAAAAGCATAAAAATCGCTACTATACAATGACTTATTCTACACACGAGCAACTTGTAAAAGTAAAGATCTACTAGATTTCCCTGATCCCTGTCGATATGAACATTCAGAAACGCTTCCTACACAGGCTATGCTTAACATGCTATTACTCACTTTCATTTTGTCGACAGGGAAAAAGTTTTTTCCTAACACAATTACCTTGGTGTTTTCGCTCATATTCATTTATGTACTTGAGAGAACTAATTTTTTCTCATAACCTTCTTCATTAATCTACTCATCCCGTCACTCAAGTACAGGAAAAGCGATCTGACTCATCAAGCATCCAATGGTTTTCCTCATTTCTGGATATCAAGTACAGCATAGCTTGCTTTCTTTGTGAAGTTCTCAATCGCTGTGCTTAACCTTCACAAACGAACAAGAAAACAACCTATTCTATTCATACCTTTTTTAATATTTCGCCTTCCTCGGACTTACTAGAACACAGAAAATCTTTCTTGAGTCATAATTTGGTAAAGCCTTTCGAGAACCTGGCGGCTTCTACATCAAAGCAAACGATATTTCAGTTGCAATACTTTTTATTCTTCTATTCATTCGTCATGACTAAACTATAGAAAAAATTATTATATCGACGATGCGTCCAAACCTTTCACTTACTGTAAATAGCTGAATTAGAGAAACCCTTATTTTTTTCTTATGATGTTTTCGATAGCTGTGCTCCACTGTGACTTCGTCAATTAGAGAAGATCTTGTTTTACTGATGATACTGCTAATTCTTCTGCTCACTGTCACTTCCTCAATGAGAGCAAACCTTGTTGTAATGATGGCGCTTCCGACTCAACTCGTCAGTTTAACTGTCTCAAATCGAGAAAAAATAATTGTACCCAGACTGATTTATTCTTTCCACTAACCGAATGTTTATGAAGTGTAGAAGACTTTCTCCAGCAACGATTAACTCCATAATCCTGTTCATTCTGTTTTCTAAACTGCAGAAACCTTGTTTTATCAACGTCTTTTATCCTTCTGCTCACCCTCTGTTTCTCAAAAACAGGAAACATTATTCTGGGTATAATTTTGTTCATTCTTCTGCTCACTCATCGTTTCTAAACTGTGGAAAAACTTGTTTGATCTACGACGCTGTTAATTTTTCTATTCACCGTGACTTCTTCCATTAGCGGAAGCATTGTTTTATTGGTAATCATTTCATCCATTCTGCACACTATCATTTTCACAATTGAAACAACATTTCTTTACTAATAGTCCTTCCATTCATTCTGGCCAGTGGCCACTTCAGAATCGGAGAAAAACGTCTTAGAGCCGCGATACTAAATATCCCTCCACTGGCTGTGACTGCTTCAACTCCAAAAATTGTCATACCTTCGACACTTCCACTATCTCATCGTTTCCAAACTGTAGAAAATCGTTTAGCTGCGCTACTATAGCTCTTACTGCTTACCCAGCGTTTGTAAACTGTACAAAATCGTGTCTGATATACAATGCTTTCAATCATGCTTCTCGGTGGTCGTTGCTGAACTGTAGAATATTTTTGTTTTAGTCAGAGGATGTATTTGAACCTACTAGTCACTAGCCGTTTCTAACATAAAGCAAGAACATGTTTCATCAACAATTGTTTGATATTTCTGCTCGCTCATCGTTCCTAAATTGCAGGAAAAATCTGTTTTTTTTACGATCATCTTGATAGTTCTACTCATTGAGACTTCCTGAATCAAAAGAAACCCTTTTCCACGGGCAACGCTTTGGATCATACTGGTTACTCGTTGCTATCATTATAAAGAAGAACTTGCTAGAGCCATGATGATATATAAATCTGTGCTCATTCTAACTTTTACAAATATAGAAAGAATTATTTAACCCATCACTCTTTTTATCTATCTGCTAACTCACTGTTTTTATGCTACACGAAAATCTTGTTTTACCAATGGTTATTTGATTCTGCTACTCACTATCTGTTTCTCAAGTAGACAGCAACTCGTTTTAACCATTATACTCCCTTGATCCTTTTCTTCCCTCATCATTTCTAAACTGCAGTATAACTTGTTTCATTCATTTTGTTCTCAATTATTCTCATCATTGACACATTCTCAATTAGGAAGAGCCTTGTTTGACTGATGATTGATTCGATTGTACCACTCACTAGGACATCATCAATTAAGAAACCTTTCTTTTCTATTGATGCTTTCGTTTATTCTGGTCACCATCACTTCAAAACAGGAGAAAGCCTTGTTGCAGCCTCGACGCTACATATCCCTGTAGTTCTTAGCACTTTTCAACTGGAGAAAAAATTTTCTTACCCATGAATCCATTCGCTAACTCTTCGCTTCTAAATTGTAGAAAAACTTTTTCTATCCACAATCCTTTCCTACCCAATCCATATTCATTGTTTTGAATCTACAACAAGATTTAGTTTTATCAATGATTGTTATATATTCCTACGTATTCGCTGTTTTCAAAGTAAAGAAAAAATCGTTTTATCCATAATTGCCTTGATGATTCTCCTCATGCATCGATTCTAAATTACACCAAAGCTTCTTTCATTCATCATGATTTCACTGCTTCTACTAAGTCTTATTGTCTCAATTAGAGAGAACATTGATTAGCGATGATTGTTCCGATTTTGCTACTCACTAAGACTTCGTCAATTAGAAAAAACTTTGTTTCCAGTTAATGAATGGGATCCTTTTGGTGAATCATCAGTTTCAACCTGGATAAAAACTTTCTAGCACCACTATCTTACATAACGATATGCTCAGTTTAACTTTCTCAAGGAGAGATGAAGATACAATATCCATGAATGCTTTAATTTTTCTGCTAACTAGGACATCAACTCATTTTAACTATTATTCTTTTGAACCTTCTGTTGATTTGTCGTTTCTAAACTACAGAAAAAAAACTTGTTTTACTCAAAATGATAATGATTGGTCTACTCACTTTGACCTTCTTAGGAAGGAAAACCTTACTTCACGAATAATTCTTTCAAACCTTCTAGCCATTCTTCGCTTACCCACTGGATAAAAGCTTGTTTTAGGCAAGATGTTGTGTAACCATCTGTCACTGACATTTTTCGAAGTTCAGTAAATAGTATTTTAACTGTAATTTCTTTATTCAGTCGGCTAACTTACCTTTTCTAAAGTGTAGAAAAACTGGTCAAAGTCACAATGCATTTAATCTTACTGCTTATTTAACATTTCTAAGCTATAGAAAAAGTCGTTCAACTAGTATACAATTAATGGTTTTACCCAAGATGCTTTTGGTCGTAATACACAGCCATCGTTTGTAAGCTCCAGAAAGATCTTGTTTTCAATATGATTTTTTTTATTCTTCTTCACACTCTCTTTTTCTTAAGTACATCAAAACTAGTTTTAACTATAATTTCCATAATCCTTCTGCACCATAATCGTTTCTAAGCTGTAGAAAAAATTATATTACTCACGATGCTCTCGATCCTGTACTGACTCGTCNTGAAAAAAGACAACAAGATTTAGAAGTTTAAAAAATTAATTTTATTTTGAAATTTTTAATAAAACAGAAAACTCATTACTCTGAACTCGTCTCTCATCCATTTGATTGAATAAACATCTACAATATAGAATAAAAACTTATTTTATCTAATTCATTTTATTCCTATAGAAAAATAAAATATCTATTTTATTTGTAAAAAAAAAACAAAACAATAAATAAAATCTGTCAAAATATCAATTAATTTAATTATTTTGTTGTTGTTTCTAAAATTACAACATAAAAATTAATGATTATGATTAGAAAATTATTGAATATGAACTTTTACGTTTAATTCGTCTCTAACAGTTTGATAATTTGATAATAAACGAAGAATTTGTAATAAATTCTCTTCATTATGTTTTTTTGTCATCATCAAATCGAAGTTGTCATTATCTAAAAGAAAATTGTTTTTATTCATTGATTTATTTCTTATTAATTTCAACTGAATTAATTTACTCATCGTTGATGATACATAATCAATTGCTTGTTCAATAATACACCTTTATTAAATATAAAGAATAACATTTTTTTTAAAAACAATTATATTACCATTGATGGCCATCGAAAATTTCACGCGTCTTTCGAATATCACCTTGTAGTGGTTGGTATTGATTATTTGTTGAATAAAAAGTTTTTTCTTTCGACAATAATCTTGACTCATGAATTAAATTATTATTATTATTTGTATCATCGTTATCATCATCATCACTTGATGAAAGATCAATTGAAAAAAAATGCCGTTCACACAAACCATTACTATATGATATTGGATGATTCCATGGTAATAAACGATTACATTTAGCCTTGGCACAACGTTGAGATTTATTGACTACAGACGATTTTATATTTTGTTGATGAATTTCTGTCATTTTCGTACGATCTAAATTAAGAAGTGTTTGAAATATGACGACTGTAACGGTTGTACATTTAACAAAAGAAATGCCATTTGTTCGTTCAGTATTATTCAATTGGTTCTACACGTTTAACAAAAGCAAATTTACTAGTTCATATTTCATATGAGTGATTCATCGCATGATATGTGCCAGGAATTCACTAATGCATTTGTTCTTCACATCGTCTCATAATTGAATCTATTGAAAAGATGTTTACGTAGAATCGATTAGGCATTGATTACAATATTGTTACACTACATTTTCATTTTGGCCATATTAGTTTTTTGTATTTTGATAGTTTCATTAACTAGCGTCATCTCTATGGTAGACAATGAGGATATCCTCTGACCCAATATATTAATAGAGAAGCGTCATCTATTAATTTTTCTAAAAACTTTTAGCATACTATTTTGTACAAATATTGTTAAGGTCTTCCTGTTTCTGAATTTATATAAACCTTGAATAACGACCCAGTTAAAAAAAAACAACCTTCGCACAGTGCATTTAGAAATAACTATTGAAAAGAAAGCGCATTCGATGCATTGGTTAGTAGATAAAGTTTTTTAAAAAATCAATCCTATTTTTTTTTATTCTTTTGATATTCTGGGAGAAATTTCCTCCTAGATAAATATGATTTGTTTTTTTTATTGCAAAATTAATATATATATTTGAACTATTTAATCATTTGTATTAGCTAGCTAAATTAACATGAAAACAAAAATGAAACGATAAATTCTACAATAATTGAAAAAACAACAAAAAAAAAGCAAATAATTAGTTTTTTTTTTGCATTTCGTTAACGTCTTAGTTTGTCTATTGATTTCACAGAAAAATAAAATGTCAATTAATTTTATTGAGTAAATGTTTGTTGTGATGAATACGATTCATAGCTATTGCTACCACCACCAACATTATTTGAATTGTCAACGAGACCAAGACCACCGAATGATGATTCAAGACCTCCAACATAACCACCAGTACCGCTACTTGCATTATAAGATGAAGATGAGTCATAGTTGCTTGATGAGACTCCACCAGCACCGCCAACCAAATTAAGACCAGCATCACCGGCTACATTCAGACCAGCACCTCCGATCCAACGAAGACCGGCATCTCCGGTTGAAGAAAAACCACCACTAACACCATAACCATCGGCTGCAGATGAAACAACTTCATAATTAGCAGCACCAACGCCAGCACCAATACCACCTGATTGATAGCTTTCATAACTGGCTGATTGCAAGTTTGATACTGTACCAGCAGGAGGTGACTAAAAACAAAAATAAACGGGTACCGTTTAATAATTGGTATATTTCTTTTGCAGTTAATAATACAAGAGACATTAAACTGAAATAGACTTACAATATCTTCGACAACACCAGCTTGTCGAGCTTGTGTAACAAGTGTTTGAGCATCTTCCAATTGAGTGCCATAGCGTGCAACGTACTCAACTGGATTAGCACGTTGAACACCCAAATTATGAAAACGACGAACGACTTGAGCCTTGGGTGCCTCGTAACTATAGATAAATAGTAATTAGTACAAGTATCATTCGATCTATCAAGATTCTTTACATACTAAATGATAATGTTACGTGGCTTTGGGATGACTGGAGGTGGAGCTCGTTGAATAATAACACGGCGTTTCTGTTGTGTTCGATATGGTAACCAACGTTCGACGATAACATCACGTGGTTTAGGTGGCATGGGTGGCAAACGTTCAATGATTACTGAACGCGGTGGTACTGGTATAGCTGGAAGCATCTTTGTTATAACTGAAAATTAAAAATATTTCCTTTTGTAAATTCATTTATCTCTTATTAATAATTGTACCCTGTGTGCCTACTGGTGGAGGCATTTTCGGTGGAGCTTCACGAATAACAATTGGTGGCAACGTGGGCGGTGGTGGTGGACGTTGTCCTGCGTGATTTGACATATAGATAACATTTTTAAAGCAAATTTATACTTACGTATGTAAAGTGGAGGAGGTGGAGGTGGTTGAGGTGGACGAACTTCTTTGATAATAAGAGGCTAAAATTGCCGCAAAATAAATAAATCCTTATTTTCCGTTTATTATATACAATGTGTTCATGGGAATACTTACGCCTGGTGGAGGAACTGCTGGTGGTTGCAAGAATCGAACGAGAACTCGTTGAGTATATGTTTGTGGACCTCCAGGAGCTGGTCGTCGTATAACTTCTGGATTAGGATCTTTATAGAGGCCTTGATCATCAGTTGCATAAGCTGTTGATGAGAATGATTGTTGTTCTAAGCTGCTAGCACTATAACCGGCATTACTAGCTAGGAATGCTCCTGAAAGATTTTGCTGTTCAAAGCCAGTTTCTAAGTCACTACTACTTGCTTGAGCACCAGCTCCAAGTTGAGCATTGGACGATGACGAGTAATATTCGTTACTAGCTCCTCCGCCACCAACAAGAACTGCTTCAGCAGCTCCAGCTCCATAACCTGTTGCAGACGTGGATTCATAATTTGAATAACTTCCTTGTGCTGCATCTTCTAAACCTCCACCAAAAGCAACACCCTGTAAACTTCCACCATATGCAATGCCTCCCATATTTCCATCAAAAGCAACACTATTTTCACCTGAAATAATCCATAAAAATAATAAAAGTGAATAGTTAGTGTACGTATGTGTGTGTATATATTTCTAAAAATGCTTGTAAAAAAAAATAATTTAAACTCACCTCCGACAAGTTCACTTCCACCAGAAGTGCTTTGATAGAATGATGATGATTCTTCGTAAGACATTGATCAATTTAGTATCACGTTTTGATTATAAATATGATCTAAAGATAACGAGAAAATTAAAATGAAATAACCCAAAAGACCTGAATTATTAATGTCAAGTTGTTTGTCATTTTTTCAAATCAAGGAAAGATATATATGTCTAAAAATACTGTGCAATATGTAGACCATACAAACCACTTTATATTCAAATAGAGAATGAGCTGATGATGTATCTTTTCTTTCGTACGTGGTGTTTAGTCGGGTGTGGAATTTTCTGCCGTTCTTTATGCGTGTTACTAATGCTTTCCGTCGACATTGCTTTGTATTGATACATGCGGTTTTACATTTGATACGCATATAAAGGCAAAAATTACACACGTTTACTACGAGTGGTTTTGATTGAAGGTCAAATGTTTCTACATATCAGTGGCTTTCATGCACATCACATTCATAATCATTCAATCAGTCATTCACCTATTCATTTGGTCATTTATCATGTTTATCAGTACGTAAGTCAAAAAAAGAAAACGAATAGAAAAATATTTGCCTTGAAAATATGTTTATTTTCATGGATGTTCAACTGTAAATCATTCTAATACAACTAAAGTATATATTTAATAGGTTAGACAAATATTGTCAAAGATTCATTTTAAATTTATGACGGTTAATTTTTAGTGAAGACAAACTTCAAATCAAGGAGTTTCGATATCAGTCATTTTGATAGTAGCTAATTGTTTTATCATGGGCATCATAATATTCGGCAATGACAGTAATTTCAGAGGCCAACAAAATAATGTACGTAAACAAGTTGATTTCTTAATATGTTTATTCTTTTTGTCATACTGTGCAAATCATGTTTTTCTAACAAAGCGAAATAGGCAAAAAGAAAGCTACAAGGATGTCTGCATAATTGAGTATGATTTATTTGAAAATAGTAACAAATATATTTATTCTTTAATAATTACACTTATTAGCTAACTGAATTTTTCTATAAAAAGAATATTATATCAATAATTGTACAACTGCCATTGAATAGCGTTTTAATAATAAATTATATAACAACGAAAGCTTTTTACTTCGCTTTTAATTCGAGAAAACTGTCCAACAGTAATGTTTTTTTCTTTATTTATTTACTTGTATTGTATTAGTTATTTGATCATTAACACGAAATGAAAAAAAGATAAAACAAAAGTTTCGTATACTCTATGGTTGTTGTTTGAGTTCTATTGTTAAAGACAAAAACAGTAAGACGTTTGAGAGAAATGTTGATTTCCTACTTATTTTTATTCCTAAATTGAAAAAGATCAGAATCGAAAAAACTGCATTCGTACATAATAAAAGTTTTACACAATATCAAAGTGTCATATACAATCCATCAAGATTTCTGTCATCATGCTCTAGACATGTTCGTAACTGAACATAAAAATCATCATTTTCCTAATTAAAATACTCGACACATCGACGTGCAATGCAATTAATCAATACCAATGCATTAGGTCCATTACCAGCAAAACAATATGTCCTTGTATCACATGTTACAAAAACATAATAAACAAAAATTACAGACGAATCAAGCTCATTTATTTAAACACATTGCCAAAACAAGATAATAAAATTGGTCCATATTTAGAATCGGAAATGCATACGAATGCGACAATCTATATGTTAGATATATTTTCTCTTACAACATATGCGCACATAAGAATACAATAATAATGTGATGTCTTATCAAGATTAAATTATCCACGATAATATAGAAATTGTAACCATAAGCTAGTTTTATTCGAAAGGATATTTTTATCACGTCGCATTGCATCCATAAAGCATCAATTTGCAACGATCGGTTTTATCTATTGCTCATTATTTAGCATTTACCAGGTATTATACAAACGTTTTTTTTTTTCATTGATTGATAATGTTTTCACTATAAAAAACACATTGAAAACAATATATACTATTGTTATTGATAATATCGTTTTAGCCTGTTGTTCAATGCGTTCATTCATATGAAGTTCTCTGACTTTTTGTCATTGTTAGCATAGGCTTATAAGCAAAACAACGTGTATCTGTGTGTATGAATGATTCAATTCTAGATTAGCATCAATTTCGTGAGCCAGAACGATTCTCGAATTTCGATTACTATGCATATATATAGTTTTTGTTCGAGTAAATATTAAAAATTTTATGTACCCATGCTTTGATTGACAATAGAACAAAAAATAGGCTTGCTTTATGAAGAATGCATGATTCCTATGAAGGTGTCTTGATTTTGAAAACTCTTATTGCCTCTTAATAGATGATACCATAGTAGTATAATTCAAACCCACCTGTTAAATTCTATATGAAAAAAGTTTTATTTTTTGTACTGATTTATCATAAACTGCAAGTCATTTTCAAACAAAATATTCAAAAAAAAGGCTGATTACTTAATTAATGCATGAGCAATATCTTAATACATGATATATATAATAATTACTTCAACTTCAATATCAAGATCATCTTTGAACTAAAATATTTGTCATATGATGAAAGTTTATAAACAATATTGAACTCAAATTCACCATTTATGCCACATCAATTGATTTTTTACTCATAATATGTAAAAGAAAACAAAAAGAAACGAGAAAAAATCTGTTTTTGAAAAACAAATAATAGTTCAACACAATCATAAAACCGGTCACGATTAGCCAATGTTAGACAAATAACACAGAAAAAGACCAAATGTCAACATAGCTGCAAATAATAAAAACATGCAACTCCTATGCTGGTCTTGCAATCTAGCATCAACAACTTTCATCTTTTGGTAAATTTAAAGTGCTATACTATGATGTTTTTTCTTTATCCTATTAGATAATGAAACACTGAAAACAACTTGTAAGATTTTAATAAGTATGTTATGCATTTCTATCAAACTACTGCTTCTTCTATATGTAAGATATGTTGTACCAGTTTATTTTTAATAACTGACTATACTAATAAATTATTATCTGTATACAAAAAACAAATGAAAAGCTATTTCATTATTCAAAATGATCGTTGAGTTCAGCAAGTAGATAGTCATCATCTGCCATTCGTATTACATCTTTTGCTTTGACTTTCTTCGGTTTACAATTTACTTGAGTAGTTAAACTAAAAAAACAATGAAGACATGTAAAAAAAAACAATTTTAAAGAAAACTGAAAATATGTGCCGTAACAATTCATGTTCATTTTCGCAGCTGATAGTGAACTCTGATTTTCTCTGTTGACAACGATTAAATACTGCCGTTTTTTGTTTGTTAATCAGTTTCAGATATTGTTCCTTGTATTTTATTGACATCTAAAACAAATAGATGATTTCTATAATCTACCTTATGTCAAAGAAATAAACTAGTTACCAATTCGTTTGAGGTAGACATTATGATCGATAATATTTACAAATGTTCTTACAAGTCTTGACGATATGACAATGAATCATGTGCCCCATTATTATATATAAAACACATAGAGTTAAATTGATCGCATCAATTTTAGATCCATACTAACATCAATTAGACATCATCGTTAATGTATACGTTCATATATGAGACACTAAAAATGTATAAATTAAAGAATAATTTCAAACAAAAAGAAATTTCTTGATGGGATGTACGCATTAGTTTTTCGGATTAACTAATTTTTTTTCTACAAATTATTTTTCTCTATTTAACACAAACACATTTGCTCTTCCATGATGAAAACAAAATATGCGAAATGGGTGACCAAAAAAAAAAAAACGTTGATTCTTGCCTACACATTTATATATAAAATCAATAAACAACTTTATAGTGATTCAACATTTAGTAATTTAGTACTTTCAAAAAAAAACACCAATTTTTTTTCCATGATTTACTAATTTCTTCGTTTCTAGCAGTATGCGAGAAAGAAAAATATTGATTAATGTAGTCGTTTCTAAGATGAGAGAAAACAAAAGGTGACATGTATATGAAATTATTTCCATTTTATTGTTCTTTAATGTTGAGTAAATATTTTCCAAACTACAGTCCTATAATTGTTACTATTTGTCATAATATAAAATGTAGAATCTGTCATTCTTGTCAGGACATTCGTGAAATGATATATTAGAATTCTATGCACATTGTGCTCATGTTCATTATCTTTCAGTCGATTTCACTTTGAACATATTATTCGACTATTACTTTTGTACATTTTTATTTGATCGAAAAAAAAGTATTTTTATTACTTGCTGGTAGTTCCACTTGTGCTATTATAGTAGGTAACCATAGATGATTGAATGTTTTTTTTTCTCGTTTTAAAGTAATGAGAATAGCATTAACACACATTTACTTTAAAACTTTTCTTTTTAAAAACAAAGCCACTCTAATATGTTAGATGCATTAAATTACAATAACAATTTAGCTTTCGATAGTTGTGATTGTCGATGTTGAATTATTATTTAACATAATCGCTTGTACGTCAAGTATGTTATGAGATGCGGCAAAGAAAGAATGACGAGAAGAGACAAGTACTTCTCTTCTCTGTCTCACTCTATTCTGAGTTGTCGACATACTTAAGTGGATAAAATGTCGTACTTCTGCGCTTTTCTCTCTCTGTCTCTCTTTCTTCTTTTTCTTTCTTTCTCTTTTCGCAACTATAAATCAAAAACAACAATTTGATGTGTTCATTGTCATACTTTTCATTGCATCGTTTATCTAGACATACGACTACGCGATGCCGAATAAATCGTCAAAATTGCTTACATCAAAAACAGTTAAAAAATTCCATTCTCCAAAAAAATCTACTACTACACCGTTCTATTCTGGTATACCAAGTGCGCAACGTGCTCTACAACAGCAGCGGTATATTACTGAGAAAACACTTTATTTGAGTTCTCATATTAATTTTTATGATTAATTAATTATTTTAGATTATTACTATCTCGACATTCTACCCGAGCAAAACGTGATCTTGAACGCATAACCGAGAATGCACTGGAAGACTTCGTAGTTCCAGTTCATTATCACCCATGGGAATCGAAATATCACAAAACAATTACTCGAGAAAAATTTATCAAATCAATGACAAAAGATTCATATACACCCATAGTACGAGTAATTTCTCACGCTATCGAAAATGTAACAACCGAAACTGAATGCTCTCCTGTTTTGATAGCAGCTGAAGCTGTAAAAATCGAAACATTCAATATACAACAAGCACCGAGACGATCTGGTAATAAGTTCATATTATTATTAGTCTTTTTTCAATGATCATTTGAATTCTTTCAGTACCAAATGTTGTTCGTTACTTAAGACGTACGGAACCAATGCCACCTGCACCATCTTTCACTCCAGTGAAAATATCATCTCAATCACAGCATAAAAAAACGATCATCCCAGTTATGAATACTAGTAAAGTAGCGGGTACTGCTCCTAATCTGATTACGACGGATCGATTATTAAATCGAGCTAAAACACATAACGACGAATCCGTTATTCGAAGGCCACCAAGAAAATTAGTTTTGAATGTTACTCATGAAACAATCATGCCACTATCAGTGTTTGGTTGAACGAGATTCACTAATAATCCTTATTATTATTCTATTAGTCAGATAGTGCATATCTTATATTTTTTGCTGTTTGTTCTCTTTCATATTATCTTGTTGAGATTAATTTTAGTGTTTTTATGTTTCAAAGAAAAACAAAGTAATTCTATATTTTCAATGAAACCACGTACAGTATTCTTGAGCAGTTATTGTAAGAGAAGTTAAATGAAATTGATTGATTTCTTGTCATTTTTTCTGAAAAAAAATGTAAAGAATTGTATTATTATCTATTTAAAATAAAAGTGTACCTTATAACTCTTCTATTTATACATTATTTCTTTTTTAATCTGAATTGATTAAGATTTCATTGCTTTATCAAAACAATATTTATTTGGATAATCATATTTGTCGAATGTGACTCTCACATTATATTATTCCTTCAAGTAATAATAGCTCCGGAGAAAAAAAAAACAACATTCAAATGTGACTTCATTTTTTTTTCTCACTGTTGTTTTTCATCTACTGTTTAGATAGCCTGGAGTATTATTATATGATTTCTAAATTTTGTGTTAAACTTTATAAAAACACTTGAATCTTAAAATTTACAAAGTGTTGCTTCTGAATTTTTCAAAACATTATAAAAGTTCTTCAATTATCATGTAAAGAGTTGTTGAGTAAATTTATAATAGAAAGGAAACCTGGAGTAACATAAAATTCAAGAGGAAGTGATGGATGAAATTTTTCAATAAATGATAATTTGAGGTGAAAATAAAACGATTTTCTTTCTTTGTTTCAGCACATACATTAACATCGATATTTATTTATTTAGTTTTATAAGAAAAAAGTGTAAAAAAAAAAAGGGAATAGATGGAGTAGTGATAAATATTTAAGTAAAATATAGCATGACGTTTTTCTTATTGTAGTTTAATCAATTGCTTCAGCCAAAAATGATTCATAAAGATTTTTCTAAAACAAAAAAAACAAAACAGATAATGAGACTGAAAAAGACCAATAACAAAATAAAACTTACCTGTTTAACACCGACATTTGTTTCAAGATGATGTTGAAATGTTATAAACATCTTTTTTTCTCGAGCGTTAAGAACATCTTTTTGACGGCTAAACATAATAAATAATAATTTCAAATTTATTATTTCAATTAATAAATACTTTTTTATAAAACGTCCAATAAAAAAAATAAGTCCATTAATAAATATAATTAGTAATAATAATGAATAAGCTGGATAAAAAAGAAAATCATCAATTGAATTCTAATAGAGAACAAAAGAAAACAAATTTGATAGTATGAAGATCAACATTTTATTAAAAACATAAGTCTTACAAGAGTAGAATTGATTTGCCATGATGTTGAAGACTCATCAAGAAATGCAATTGGAATTTTTAAATGAGATGTTTCAAGATATCGTCTCAAAAGTAATATGGATGAAAGTATAACAAGTAATAATGAAATAAACTGAACAATGGATAATTTAATATTCCATGATCGATGTTTAATTTGAGTTTTTCTAATAATAAGATCAAAGATATATTGAAAAAAACACACACATACATACAAAATCAAGAAAAATTCCTTACTTATGTAAAACTAATCGTTCATTAATACATTGTTCCAAGCGTTTACAATCGTTATATAATGTATTGAGTGATTTTTGTACCCCACTGAAAACAGCATGATCGATTGTTGAACAAACTTCATGAATTTGATTTGTACAGCGTGTTTCCTGAGAAAAATATTCATTGATAATAGGTGTGTTAGAAGAAACTGCATTTCAAGGTCTACGAAATTGTTAACTTTGTTTCGCAAAATAGCTTTCTCTTATCTGTACAAACTTTTGAAGAAGAACATCCACTTAATCATATAAATGAGACGGTGAAGAAAACAAAAAAGAACTATATGACAGTTTTTTAATAAATGTCTCTATCAATTTTTAACTATCTTACAAAATTTCTCTTTAAATTCTACATGTCTGGATGCATATTTCAGAATTTTAGAACTATATCATTATTGTTTTCTAACTTGAAAGATTCTAAATATTTTTACGGTTCGATTTGATTATTTACATTGTCTTGTTCAGAATAAAATTCTACATCAAACAGCATAATAATATATATTTCATGGAATAAGTCTAGCTTTTGAAAACATGAATTACTAAACTGAACTCAAAAATATCGATAGTAGGCCATTTCGAAGTCTTTTTTTCGTAAACATTAGCTTTGGCAATCTTAAAAAGGTCGTTGAGACATAGAGCACAAAATTTTCTATCTATTAGTATTAACTAATGTATGTTTGATATTAGTTTTAATGAGCGAAGATTTTACACAACTCAATAAGCTTCTGCAGAGAATAAGTTGTAGTTAAATGACTGACCAGACATGAATGTTTTAAATTTGGCGCCAGTAAGGTTAAATTTGTTCGGAAAACAAAGTTGACAGTTTTATACAATTTGAAATTCTGTGTCTTCTGGCATATAAAGAAAGCTTATGCTTCGGAAGTAAGAAAAAAAGGCACCAAGATTCAATACAATTTATTTTGAGAAATCCTATATATTTTAATATGATAATTTATTTTACCTTAGCTAAATCAGGTAAATAAATAGTTGGCATATCAAAATTCGTTTTGGAAATTTCTGGTTGTCGACATAAATTTTGTACAATTTGCATAAGAACACGATGTCGATCACGATCACTACCAGCTTCATCAGCTTTAGCTAAATAATAATGCATCTTTTCTGGATTTGATTTATTTAGTTGTTCAACAAGTGTTAATGTTCGTTTGCATAAAGCTTGACCAATGGGATCAAATAAAACAAATATAAGATCAACATGATCACCTTAGAATAAAAAACGTAATTTCTTTGTTTGGAGAAGATAAAAGAAAAAATTCAGTACAAACCAAGCCAAAGAATTGCTTGTTCAACATCAAATGGATATGCCATAGCACCATCGACAAGACCTGGTGTGTCGATAAATGAAACAAGTGGAAATTTCTTTTGTTTTGATGAAGATATTTCCGTAGTTAAATAGTTAAGAAGACCTAAGAAAAATTTCATAAGAATAATAGGCAAAGAAATCACTAACCAGGAATATTTCCCAATGGATGAAGATAAGGAAATAAACGCATTGTTGCTGGACCCTAGAAATTAATCGATATATATATATATATTTAATTTCTTTTTCTTTGACTTTACCATGAGTGACTCTCGTCTTTTACCACTGGTAATAATGGATACACCTACAAATGTAAATGTAATGATTGCAAGTGATGATTTTATTTCAATTGATTTACCTTGAGTTTCAATAGCTACTCCAGTACGTTGAACATTATCTTCAATATACCAATTGACAAGAGATGATTTACCTTTATATTTCGATAAAAGCAACTAGATCATTTACATGTCAATAAAAAATAAGATCGATTTACCAGCACTGTGATTGCCGATGAGTAATATACTTATCTTCTTATTTGGTGCCATAATAGATAGATCAAGCCATCGGGCCATCGTAACAAGTCCTAAACAAATTTCAAATATGAGTCTAAACAAGTTAAAAAACAGAACACGAGCAACCTATGTCAGGATGATGATAAATATTTTCAATTTCATTGACGATCTGCTCATAATGAGGTGTAATCATACGCTGCATTGATTCTGGTAAAGTACTACTGCTTTTACTATTATTCATTAGAGTAGAAGTCATTGTTAATGTCAGTATAAATATAGTCTTTAGAAAAATGAAAGTATAAATCGAATATATTAACCACAACACTGATAATGTAGTACGTAAATATAGACAAAGTGATTGAATCATTTTTTTTTATTCGAGCCATTGTTCTACATTTGTTGATAGAGAAACTACTGGAAGATGTCGTGCATTATCACTAAGAAAATTTATCTATTTCTGATAGAAAGTATCATTTTAAAATACTAGAGAATTGATGGTGGATATGTTTCAAGAAGATACTTGTTTTCGTGAGAAATTGTTTAAATTCATTGAAACGTCACCGTGCTTTATGTTGATCATTTTCTTAAAAATCTTTGTCGACGAAAAAAAACCATGTAGTATTATCTGTATTTGAAAAAAAAGAATATTAGTAGAAAAGTCAAATTCGATATAGTTCATAGTATTTTTCTTAATGAAGTAGATGCATCTTAGAAGCTATTTATTCAATTCAAGAAGACAATAATGTATAGCAGTTGTTAATCTTTCAAAATAAATTAATCCCTATATGCATATATAATTTCAATAAACCATTTCATACGATAACAATGTTTTAAAAAAGGTCATTGCAAAAAAATTATAAACGTGCTACTATGAGTAAAAAAATGAATGAAAGAAATTGCCTAAAATTTTTAAAATATTTCAGTAAATTATTTTTCTTCATGTAAAAAACTATGAAACAATTCATTGTTACTCCTGTAAGTATATACGAAAACGAAATTTGTTCTTCATGTATTCGCATATTTAGATCTCATAGTTATGTATGAGAAATTACTTCATCTAATAAAAAGGAAGCATAATTATTTTATTTCATTTAATATTCGATTGAGATGCCAACTATTAATCGATCATTACCATTATATTAATATAGATTATTCCAAATGCAATTTTTAGTAATTTGGATAAAAACCTTAATTCTTGATTTATTCTTTATTAAAGTGAGTTTTATTATGATTCCATCATTATGTTTTGAAACAATATTATTAGTTAATAATTTTAATTGTTTAGGTATCGATTAAATTCTAGAGTACAACAATGAATCAGTCACTTTCTTTGATTCAGATCTATGATGCGAATAATTAAACTACAAAAAATATCTTTCTGTAAATAAAATTGTTTATCTCTTTGAATAGAATATTAAATCTTTACAATTGCTTGTTTTTTTTTTCATTTCAGTAATGTATTTCTTAGATACTCTTAGTATTGCGTCAAACTCTTTACTTAACAGTGTAAATATGTGCTGAAAGAAGTTTGAATTCACTAAATAATTAATCATTCTATTTTTATTTTTCTCACTAGTGTTCTGTGAGGACGACATTTCTAGATTCTTGTTTTCGCACTCGTAAACGAAGATTTTTCCCCGTTCTTGTCAACAGAAGTGTAAACGAATAATGTTGATTGTGTTTAATATTACTTCTTTTTTGTTTTCATTCAGTTGTGATGATAGTTGAACCTTTTAGAAGGTTTCTTAAATATTTTCTGTTTCAAAGAGTTTTCATATAGCATTAAAAAGAAAAAAATCCGATAGAGATTAAACAAACAAAAAAGTAGACAAACACATTCTTGAAAAATAATCTTAAGAGTCGTCAATTTTTAAAAAGTCTACTATATAAATTTTGCTCTAGCAGTGGTGACTCAGCCAATCGATTTACACTCAAATGGAAAGCAACAGAGACTTCAGTTCTAAAGTCTACTAAAACATTTCAATATTTCATGAAACCTTTTTGAAGTCCCATAAAGTCTTTTGAAATCTTTGTGAAATATTTAAGAGATTCGAAATTCATGAAGGAATCGAATGATTGAAATACTGTTTAAGAAGTTTTAAAATTGCAGTATGATACAAGATACCTGAAAGTTTTTCAGATAGACTGTCTTCATAATAATTATGAACTTCAAACATGGGTAAAAGTTTTTTCATCAGAAGGCGTACGAGGTATATCGTCCGATATACACCAATCAATTTCTCCATTATTGGTAATCTCTAGAAGTTCAATAGGCATCTATAAATAAACTTTTCAAATGTTGCTTTTTCTTTGACTTCGATAACTTCAGCTAAGCCTCTGTACAAACCTAAAAAATCATCGTAAAGTCTATCAATCATAATGTATCCGAAAGTAGACAATATAGGGCTATCTAACTATGTAAAAATATTAAAATCAGACTGTTTTCAGGCCAAAATCGCCTTCTCTGAGTTATAAGTGAAACTTATAATATATAATAATGAACAGAAAGATAATATATACATTTGCATCATCCATTTCATTGTTTTTCTTTCTTCTTACCGTAACTTGAGCATATGATGCAGGTATGAGTACCATTTCTTTAGCCGCCCACACCCACAATCCATTGCAGAAAATAAGCAAATAAACACTAAAATCCATTGATGGAAAAAAATCCAATTTACTGGCATCGATCATCTCTAGGCACTAGAAAATTTCAAAATGGATTCAATGCAGAGATGACACTTTGTTTTTCACATATTCACGAATCCAAGTATCGATCCAAATTGAATGCGTGTATGTGTAATAATAAAGCCCTTCATCAGAAAAATTTCTTATTTTTTCAATGAATACCTAGAAAAATTCAACTTTTACGTAGGTAAAACATGTTTTTGTTCTGATAGAATTCCTTATAGAAATCAATTAATCCTTTAAGTATTTTTCATTGTACTTTAGTTGCTTCATTTCTTCAATAAGAACACTTAGATCAACTAAATTCCTTTTAATTATTCGAATTTTCCGTATTTCTCTATCAGATTAAAACTTCTCATTATTACTAAGCATCACCATAAAGCAACATTCTGAACATAGTCTATAATACACTAATAAGCATAAATATTCAAATACATACACAGTCGTTTTTTTATTGTTGCCATACACACACTCATACATTGACACTTATAGAAAACGAAAATACACGATGCCTCCACAGGTTGTTTCTATATGTTTCATATATTTTTCAAGAGAAAGACAAAGACAAACACTTGTACGAAGAGCAAAAAAGATACCAAAAAAGTTCGTCATCGACAGACAACTTCAAGGAATAGCAGTAGAAAAGAAAACAACAACAAAAGAAAAAATATAGATACATTGTGCAATTTGCTGATGAATGTTTGTCGCTTTTGCTGGAACCATCTGTTCTATAGAACAGAAAAACGTTTTTTTTAATATGGATTAGAACGATTATCTCTGCTTGAACCATGACTCGCACCACGACCACTACCACGATAGTCTCCGCCACCACCTCGATAATCGCCACCACGATCTCCACCTAATTCGAAATAAATGCAATTATATTAATGAAGAGTAAAACAAAACAAAAAATATTCACCTCTACCACGATATCCGCCATAGTCACCACCACCTCCACTGGCGCCGCCACCTCCTCCTCCTACAATAATAAATTAAAAATATATATTAGCATTGAAAAAGATGGCCATTTATTTATTTGCGTTTACCTCGACCACGGAATCCACCACGACCACGAAATCCACCTCGACCACCAAAAGCAGAAGCGCGCCGAGTGGCTAATGAGATTTTAACAATATTTGAAAGAACTTCTTTGTCTATTTTTATGAAACGATAAATATAACATCTGAAATAATACAAATGAAAAGAATCTTACCATTATACCAATTGATAGCAGCTAGTGCTGCTTCTTCATCTTCATATGTGATTGTTGCTTCACCTTTACCTTCTCCAGTTGCCTTGTCTTTATAAATCCAAATTTTTGGTGCACCTGTTTTTTTATCATTCTATCAAAAGAAAATACAAGTTTTTGAATCAAATATATACAGATAAACTATTAAAAGAATGATATCTTACTTTAATCACTCCAATTTGACTAAATACAACTCGAAGTTCTTCACTAGTTACATTTCGTGGTAGATTCTGAATAAAAATTGTATCTCGTTGTGTTTCCATACGCTGATCATCTCCACCACCACCACCACCACCGCCATTATCATTGTAGTGATCACTTCGACCACGACTATATCCACTGCCACCTCTATCATCATTTTGATGGTCGTTGCGCCCACGATTATGTCCACCGCTATCATCATTGTTACTTTGATGATCACTTCGACTACGATTGTAACCACCACCGCCGCCGCCGCCACCGCCACTGCCACCGCTTCCAGAACCTGCACAGAGGACAAAGTGTGTGCTGGTGCCATTCATCATCCTGTATGAAGCGTCAATTTTTGAAGTTCCAAAAACCGACATACAAGACATGAAAAAAGTTTTTTACCTCCACCGCCACGTGAACTATAATCAGAGCTTCTTTTTTGTCCACTACAAATAGTACAGAATAAGTATATCAATTAATGGTTTAAAAAAAATTAATAAAACTACCTGTTATTATCATAATTGTTTCGACTACCGCCTGAACGTCCTGATTGATAATCACTACTTGAATGACCACCACTATATCTAGACATACGAAAAATGGAAACATGTCAAACAAAGAAATAAAAAGATGTATCAGTGACGAGCATCTCACCCTTCACCACCACCGGAATCTCTGCCGTAGCCGGACATTTTATATAAAACTTAATATATAAATCTGAAACATAAATTGAAGAAAAAACAAAAGAAATAATTTTTATCTTCATGAAAACGAAAAGAAAGAGAAAAGAAAGTAAACACCACTGCCCGTTTCCCAATACTGTTGCACATACAATGGACACAAACGAGTAACGAATCATAAAAAGTATTCAAAAAATAAATAAAACAAATAGAAACTCGAACAAAACTATACTTATACAATAAATTAAAATGATTTCAATATAATATATAAAAACAATTATTTCAAAAAAAAGAAAAGTATGCATTCTTTGCTTGACAACTATCTCCATCTATCCAGAAAAAAAAGAATTTATATATTTTATATTTCAGATTTATGACAAAAATATAGATGCTTAGTATACATAAAGTTTTGTGCTGCCTACGGCTACTATTTATTATATAAAAAACAAACGAAGCAAATATACAATGAATTATTCAGAAAGGAGCAGTCAATGTTCTTCTTCATCAACTGTCGAATGTCGGCGTGGTCTTTCCTCTGCTATCTCTTCTTCTTCATCACTACCTATCGTATTCTTAGCAAAAATCAATCCATTACGAGTTAAACCATAGAAAGTTGATGGTTTAAGTGATGAATTACGAAAACGCCAGCCAAGATGATTACCACATAAACGACATTGAACTATTGTCCATTTATATCCAGGAAACCATGAATGTTCAGCTACTTCATGACCAAGTAAACGAATATTTTTTGCTTGAAGAACGGTTAATGTTTCATGAATTTGTCCATGAGGATTCACATATGCTGCCATTAATCCTGTAGCAGACATTGAAAATATGTCATGATCTTCGCAAATATCTGCTGCACAATGACGACAAGCAAATTTTTTATAACGTCTAAGCCAAGTTAAAACAAAACGTACTAGAAAAACCAAAAGAAAAAAAAACAGACTTTTTATTTATTTTAATTTTTTGAAATATCAATAACAAATACTTACATCTTTGAATAGTTGTGGGAAATGATAAAATTTTTTGAACGGTTTGAATTTCAAAAGGAATATTAATTAATAACCAATCAGCAAAATGATCTGGTGTTACAGGTAATGAACCATCATCATTAGCTAACATTGTATTACATAATTCAAGTTTTACTAATGACATAATATATATATCATCATATCGACGTACAACCCAATATGGATAAGGTGTTAAAGACCAAGGGCATGCACGAGAACGCATACGAAATAAATGTCTTTTTGAAAGGTTTGGAAGTACTAAACCTAAAACAAAAAAAAAAGGAAAGTTTATTTTAAAATTGTTTTATTTTTTTTTGCTTCATCTACCTTTGGTATCATGTGAAGTCGTTGATGATGATGATGATGATGTTGTTCGTTTTCGTTTAATTAAATTAACTAAGGCTTGTCCACATCCAATCGTTGGTTGTTCATTATCATCAATATATTTTTGATTTAAACGTTTTTGTCGTTGTAAACATAGATCATATTGTAATACAAAATTAATTGTATGAATATAATTTTGACTTATAGATGGTAATGGTGGTCGTTTTAATTGCATATCAGGTAAAATTCTTACATAAGCACGAAGTATACCATTTAAATCACGTTTCATTGTTGATGGATCATCAATAATAAAACGTTGTCGACCGATAATTTTTAACTGTAATGAATTATCATTGGATTCTTCATAATAAGAAACAATTTCAGCTGTTGTACCATATTTTGGATCATTTGTTAATAATGATGAACATGCATCAATTACACCAAATAAACGATTTTCTTGTTTGGCTTCTTTAATCATTCGTGCTGTACGTGTATTAAAGACTTGCCATGGGACAATTTGATTTGGTATCAAAATCATATTTGCTAATTCTACAATATGTAAAAGACAACGACGATCATCAGATAATAAACAAACACCACTAAATTCTTGAAAATTGTCAACATTCATATATGAATGTGTTGTTGGTAAAAGACGATCATAAGTTATCGTACCATCTTGATTTTCCTCACCAGATGATGCTTAAAATAGAAAAACAAGTATTAGATCTTCTCTTTGATCAAACATTTATTCTTCTAATCGAGAAAATTTTCTCGAGAATAGAATAATTTTAATAGAGACAATCAATGAATAAGAATTATACTATAAATGGTCGAAGTTAATCTGACACATCTCGTGTGCTATTTGCTGATACAGTGTGTACTAAAATTATTCAACAAGGTATTTTTTTTTCTGATGACTTAAGTGCTGCAAAGAATTCAAATAGAAAAAAAAAAGTTTTCAAAATGAATATAAGAAAATAAAAATTATTATCAAGTTCCTAAAGAAAGAGATTTCAACAAACGAAAATGCTAGTTTTTCAACACCTAGAACATGTAAATATAATTTCGTCTAGACTACATAGGACAATAGAGCAAACAATATTCTAGAAAATGAGATGCTTTCAAGTTTTCTGCAACATTTTTTAGCTGAAATACAGCAGTCTTACGTTAACTCCTAAAGTTGTTTTTTTTTCAATTTTCTATAGAAGAATCATTTTTTGATCTTCAAACAAATTATTATATCTCAGTCGAAAAACATGGCACAGAATTCAACAATGTCTCGTTTTGTAGAAGCTAGATTGCTCTATCGTTCTTTATACTCTAAACAAAACTAGAGTTTTTGGTTATATGGAGTTCTTATCTTTGAAAATCTTATAAAAATTCTTCTTTCCTCATATTCTCTAAAATAATTTTTGTACTCATTGTATATCAAACTAAACGAATAAACGACTCTTGGCTATTCTAATGACTGTTTTTTTTTGTAAAATCTTACCGACGTCTGCGTCTTCCCAATCTTCGTTATTATCATCATCATCATTATCATCATCATCATCATCATCATGGTTATCCATGTCTTCTAAACCTTCTCCGTGATTATTTAAATCAAATAATAAATGTCGTTGAATATTACGTATTTGTTCTAATTAAATACAAGCGATTGTATTAAATAGCAAAAAAATGATTTTATCGCTATACCTTGCAAACGATTGAGTTGTTCTTGTTCATGATTTAGATTATTTTCAAGAACATTCATTTCTTGTTCATCATCAGCATCATCGTCCTCATCTCCTATTGGTTGTTGTTCAATACCTTCCCAAGGATGTAGTGCTAACGCAGGTATTTGTGGAAAACGTCTTCTATTTTCTTCATCTAAATCTGGTTGTTGTTCGACAGCATCTTCAAAACCTAATGGAGGAGCATCTCCACCTACGGATAAATTATATTTAAAAAGAAATATATTTGTTTCTTTGTATACCTTGTGCTTCACCAGGTGGTGAATTATTATTGTTATCATTCGAAGTCATTTATCTAAAGTTTATTGAAAAAATCAAAATGTCAACTATAAACATACTTAGTTTTGGAAATATCGGTTTTTTTTTATTTTTATTTTTTTGAAAAATCAACTAATAAAAAATTCTGAGATGTGCATACAAAAACAAATTAGCTAATTTGTGTTAAACGTTGTTCACGCTTTTTCTTTAAATAATCTTCTACATCATGTAATTCTTGTTGATGAGCTTGATATTCAGCTTCTGCTTTTGTTATAAAATCTTTATAATCTTTCATAGGATTTAGCCAGATATGAGCAGTTTGAGAACCAATTATGAATGCTATGGTATTGACTACAGATAAATAGAAAAGACGACGTAACGGATTCATTATTCTAAGGAAACAAATATTCATTAATAAACCAAACAAAAGATATAAACATATTTTGTATTTTTTAAACAAACCAGATTTTCAGGATATTTGTTTGATTTCAGTTATTCAATGTTGATGATGACGATGGCGGTTGAAGAGAAATTGTTTTTAGATATTCTTCAAGTTGATGTTTTTTCGTAACAAATTCTTGTGCTTGTTTACGTTTATAAACGTCGTCTATTGAAATACATAATATTTAGAAAAAAAAGATTTTTATCTTTTGAAAAAACAGATAACATACAGAAATTAATATTGTTAATACGCAGTTTACAAAGAACAACTTCAAAAAGAAAACCAGCTGCGAAGAAAATTGGTGGAAAGCGCCAATTACCAAGAAGTTTTCGTCCTGGAATAGAGTTTGATATGGCGAAAGCTATAAATCGAAAATCCGGCAATTTAGCACGAATTTTCTTGAACAGCATAGAAAAAAAACTTCGTAAAAAACCGGAAACAATCAAATGAGAGAATTTGCATCATTGAGTTTTCAATGGTTCGATTTTACACCAATCCTAATAGAAAAAAAAACACTAACCAACCAACCATGCTGCTGCTCTCTTCAGTTATAGGAAATCAGTATATCTGGCGGCATCTGCGCTTATCTAATTTTATTGTAGAGTAATGCGGAATTTTTTCTCTTTAAATGAATTTCTTTCTCATTTTCAAAAATAACGAATTAAGCGTTGGAGGGAAATTTAGCTTGCTACATATTTCTTTTGAAATAGAAAATCATCATTTTGAATATTTTAGATGGATTCATCAATGGAACGACCACAATCACCACTTGTTGTATTTGGACCAAATCATATCGATACCAGCCGAGCTGAAATGTTGGTACAATGTTTAAGTAAACAAACAATCAACTATTTTGTAACATTTGACTAATTGCAACTGTCTTTTAAAGGTAATAAAATTAAAGAAAAACGATTTAAACTTCAGAAAATGGTTGCACATAATGAAGGTGATTGATTAGTGAAGCTGATTTCTTGTTCAATTTATCAGGTATTTTTCTTAAATAGAAAAGAAAAAACGTAATGAATTGATGGAGAATGAAAAGATACAATTAACAACAAAATTGACAAATATTGAACATGAAAATTCTATTCGTGAACAACAACTTCAATCTGAACAACTTCGAATTAAGGAACTCCAATTTAATATTCAAATGCTTGATGATCATAGTAGTATGAAAAAATAAAATCTAACTCAATTTTTTTCTTCCAAAAAAAAACGTCCATTTCTGTTGTTTAATTGTTAGATTCAATCAAACGTGATTGTACCAATGAAGAACGAAAATATGATCAAGAAAAATCATTACTTATTAATAAATTTGAACGTATCAAACAACAATGGACTGAAATATTCAAACCACAGTTCGTATTTCGACATATTTTATTCTATTAGACTCCATCACAGAATAAACATCCCCTCTTTCAGAACGAGCGCAAAATAGAAGAGTAAATCATCAAATACATTAGCTCATCGCACGAGTTTGTTTTTATGAGTCAAAAAATATGTACATACGAATTATATTGAGAGACAGATGTTCAAGAACTGACGAATAGAAATTTGCCATGGGCTAATGCGATTCTATTCGGTTTCGTCTTACTGTGGCATTACAGACAGTCTAGAAATGAAACGAGATAAATTTTTATGAAGGTACCAGAAATATGGGTTAGGTTTTAATAGGAAAATGAGACATCTCACTAAACTGAACGATGTTAAATTGAATTTATGCCAGAAGTTTTTCAAACTCAAAAAGTAGTGTCAATTTAAGACGAGTACGATATCCACTATTGAAATACTCCTAAGATTTGACCTAGTTATTTCATAACAATGAGGAGCTCTCATTTGATAGTAAAATGTATACTTTATACTTCTTTCAAACTGACTGGAATATATCTGCTTACATTTCTGGTCTGTTCATTAGCTTTTAAGATGATATTACTTGCCAAAGCCGTATCTGTATAATATCTCATAGAAGTTTTTAATTTCAACTTTCCCAAAGCTCGATAGTTACTCAAGCCAAATTTTCCCAACAAGAGCAGTCTAATGGAATTCATATTAAGATTCGCAAAGTGTTGATGGCATATGAATGTATGAATGAGAAAAGCAGTGTAATGAACGCATTACCCAGCTTATCTGATAACATGGAACTGAAAAGGTAAAGAAGCCACTTTTTAGTTCATCAGTAACTATCATAGCTCGTATCAAGAATCTTAGATATTTTGAAGACTTCAATCTATCGAAACTTGTGTACTTCAGTGTTTTTCTAAATGAATCAAATCATAGCTCCAATACAAAAAGAAAAAAAAAAGTTGTTACCAAAACAGTTCACCTCCAAACTTTTGACTTGCGAAATAAATTAGAAGCTCAATGCGCCACTATTCTGCACGGATGGAGACAGGGTGAAGTATTATTTTATGTTCGTTTTAAATATATTTCAGATATGAACAATCAAAAGTTTATCAATATTTAAAACAAGGTGATTTAGCTTATAATTCACTTGTTGAACGTAGAGATGCATTACTTAAGAAACAAAAATTAGCATATAAAGATTATTTAACACGTCGTCAAGAATTTTGTAATGAAAAAAAATTTCAATCATCAATATTATCTATTGCTAAATATTTTATTTCTCAACGTGATCAATTAACTAAAATCAAACAAATGAAAGAAAGATTAATTGAACTTGAAAATAAACAAAAACAATTACTGGAAAGCAAACTTGATAAAATGAAAGCCTGGGAAAATGTTTATACACAACCAATCAAACGTGATTTATTGGATTTTTGTTTACAAACTAATATTGAACAAGCTTTAACACTTTCATTTAATCAAATACAACAAGATAGTTGGTCACAACCAGCAACACCAATGGCACCACCACCAGTTTTAACACCACAAAATGAACAAATTGAATTAGTACGAGAAGAACAAATTAATAATAAACCGTCTCTTACGTAAGTTGATTATTTCTTAGAAATATATTCTTTTTTTTTTTGTCTTATTCAATCGATTAATAAACAATGTTTATCTTAAGTCATCTTTATTTGTGAGTTTTTCTTTTTATCATATAATACATAGATTATTAATTTTCATATTTATTGAATTGATATGATAGAAAAATTTTCACAATGTCATAATTTCATTTTGAAATTGTATAAAAAGATACATGAATATCGATTATTTGAATTTGTTTTAATTCAAAGAATAACTTCTTTTTTTTTTATATTCTTATTCTTAGATTTCAATCATCAACATCGATTATTCATGATGAAACTGCACATCAAGTCATTACACCATCATCAACTCAATTAGTTGCTTCTACGATAACAATTGTTCCAAACATGACAAAAGATGTACCTTTAGAGTCAAATCGTTCATCGGTATTTCATCTTACAACAGCTATTGATGATGATGATGATGAATTATTCTCAAAATCTCGTCGAAAAATACCAACAGTTCAAGTAAGAATTTTAAAATGAATCTATTTTGTTTTCAAAATAAGAAAAATAGATGGAACAAATGACTATTAATGATTATTCACCAAGTACACAAGCATTTATGGTATCAAAAAATTCGAATATAGATGTCGATCAAGAAGTATCATCTATATCTCAAAATGATCAATCACTTACACAAGCATTTACTACTGTTTCAACACCAACACCACTTGAATCACATTCTGTACGAGATCTTGTTACACCAGCAACAAATATTCAAATTCCTGAATCGATATCAATTCCATCTACTAATACTACTGTCAATAAAATACATTCAACTATAGCATTTCAGCTTCCAAATTCACGAATTCAAAATCAACCAGTAACAACATCAACTACATCATCTATTCAACCTCAAGTGACGAGTAATGATGTACAACAAATGTTATTAACATTTTCACCAGATCCATCATCAATCAATGACGAACAACCACAACCAATGGAATATGATTCTGTACAATCACAACAGCAACAACGACCTACATTTTCAATGGCTTCGTCTATTGAATCAACTACAAGCAATGAAGAGTAAGATCATCAATTTGTATTTATATATCAATAAATTATTAAATATACGATGAACTTGATCGTTTTAGTGGATATACTGGTTTTAACTATAATTTTGGTTTTGATAATAGTACAAATGGTAATACCACTGTTGGTGGTGGAGGTTTTACATCACCAATTAATTTCGGTAATTGGACTAATCTTGGTTCACCAATAACTACAGATTCTAATGAACAATTTCCTGCATTTTTGCAACAAACAAATAATGCTAATAATAGTGTCGACACTTCATTTCCATTTGCTTCATTTAGTTTTGATAGTATGTTTCTTATTTTTTGTTTTAATTTAATTAGAATTTTTCTTTTTTCATCGATATTTGGTGTAGGCGGTAATGAAACATCTACTGATGGAGCATTTAATTCATTCTTTTTTGGCAATAGTGGAAGTCCAATGAATACAGAAGAAACTCATGATGGAAAAAGAAATTAAAATTTGAATTTTCTTATATTTTTTTTCTTTTGTGTTTTATATCTTGTAAATAGATAGATGAATTTGCCAAGTTTGTTATCGAAAAAAAAAACTATTTTATTGTGAATAATAATATTTATTTAATTTTATGGTATAGAGCAAAAAAATAAAATTAGAACATAGTGATAATGATACCATTTTCCTTTTTTTTTTTTTTGGCTTTATTTGTTAAGAAAACAAGACTGTTGCACAATACAACCATGAAAAGACTGCTGAAAAAAAAATTCCATTAATCAAGGACATTAAGCAAATATAATCGGTTGCGTGAAGAGAAAAATAGTCGTTGAATTCAACAAGATTTTATAATTTTAAAGTTTCTGTATAATATATGCAAAATATGTTACTTTTGAATAAGTTAGATTAACTTTTACTTCTATTTGAAAGGAAGCATTATTCTGACATCTTGCGTCATCTCATATATCTTTTGAAAAAGGATCGACTAACAAATATGTTAACGAATAGAATTTAATTTCTTTCTTCGATATTTTCCTCGTCCAGTTCTTAGTCTAGTCGGTTATTTATTTCATTTATTTTCATACATAACGTTAGACTACTATATCATGTCGAAACAAGCCTTTGAAAAAGCAAATGAAGCTTTTGTCGACGAGAAATATGATGAAGCACTTGAAGTTCGTTCTTAAAAAAATCTTTATCTTTTCCTTCATAATAAAGAATTTATCGTCTAGTTTTATACAAAAGCTGTTATGAATGATGACAAAACTGATCATGGATTTACTTCCAAAATCTTGGCATCACGTGCTCAATGTTTTTTAAAATTAAAAAACTATGCAGGCAACTACGAATTTCTTTTTTGTTTGAAAGTAAATATGACTATATTTTTATGTTACTTTTTCTTTCAGATGCATTGAAGGACAGTAATGATG